CTATGTAATATTCTATGGTATACACATGTATTTCACAATTTCTTTATCTACTCGTTGATTGATGGGCATTCATGCTGGTTCCATGTTTTTGCAATTGTGAATTGTGCTGCTATAAACATGCATGTCCAAGTACCTTTTTGTTGAATGACTTCTTTTCCTCTGAGTGGATACCTAGTAATGGGCTTGCTGGATTGAATGGTAGTTCTACTTTTAGTTTTCTTAAAGGAATCTTCACACTGTTTTCCATATTGGTAGTACCTGTTTACATTTCATCAGCAGTGAACTGTGTGGAAATGTTCCCATTTCACCATATCCTCACCAACATCTATTTAAAAAAATTTTTTTTTATTATGTCCATTCTTGCAAGGGTAAGGTGATATAGTATTGTGGTTTTGATTTGCGTTTCCCTGATCATTAGTGATGTTGAGCATGTTTTCATGTTTCTTGGCCATTTGTATATCTTCTTTTGAGAACTGTATTCATGTTCTTAGCCCAGTTTTTGATGAGATTTTTTTTTCTTGTTAATTTGTCTGAGTTCCTTGTAGATTCTGAATATTAGTCCTTTGTTGGATGTATAGATTGTGAAGATTTTCTCCCAATCTGTGGGTTGTCAGTTCACTCTGCTGATTGTTTCTTTTGCTGTGCAGAAGCTTTTAGTTTAATTAATTCTCATCTATTTATCTTTGTTTTTGTTGCGTTTGCTTTTGGCTTGTTGGTCATGAAATCTTTGCCTAAACCAATGTCTAGGAGGGCTTTTCCAATGTTATCTTCTAAAATTTTTATGGTTTCAAGTCTTAGATTTAAGCCCTTGATCCATCTTGAGCTGATTTTGTATAAGGTGAGAGATGAGGATTCATCCTTCTACATGCAGCTTGCCAATTATCTGGGCGCCATTTCTTGAACAGGGTGTCCTTTCTCCACTTTGTTTTTGTTTTCTTTGTTGAAGAACAGTTGGATGTAAGTATTTGGCTTTATTTCTAGGTTCACCATTCTGTTTCATTGGTCTGTGTGCCTGTTTTTATACCATTACCATTCTGTTTTCGGAACTATGGCCTTATAGTATAGTTTTAAGTCAGGTAATATGATGCCTTCAGATTTGTTCATTTGGCTTATTTGTGCTTTGACTATGTGTGCTCTTTTTTGGTTCTATATGACTTTTAGGATTGTTTTCTCAAGTACCATGAAGAATGATGGTGGTATTTTGATGGGAATTGCATTAATTGGTAGATTGCTTCTGGTGATACAGTAATTTTCACAATATTGATTCTACCCATCCATGAGCATGGGATGTGTTTCTATTTGCTTGTGTCATCTGTGATTTCTTCCAGCACTACAAGTTTTCCTTGTAGTGGTCTTTCACCTGCTTGGTTAGGTATAATGCTAAGTATTTTATTTTATTTTTTTCTTAGCTATTGTAAAAGGGGTTGAGTTCTTGATTTGATTCTCAGAATTGTTGGGGTATAGTAGAGCTACTGATTTGTGTACATTAATTTTGTGTCCTGAAACTTTTCTGAGCTTATTTATCAGTTCTAGGAGCTTTTAAGACAAATCTTTAGGGTTTTCTTGGTATATGATCGTATCATCAGCAAACAGCAACAGCAATCTCTTTATGAATTTGGATGCCTTTTATTTTTTTCTTTTGTCTGATTGCTCTGGCTATGACTTCCCGTACTATGTTGAATAGTGGTGAGAATGACTGTCCTTGTCTTCTTCCTGTTCTCAGGGGGAATGCTTTTAACTTTTCCTCACTCAGTATTATGTTGGCTGTGGGTTTGTCATAGTTGCCTTTTATTACATTAAGGTATATCCCTTCTATGACAATTTGCTGAGGATTTTAAACATAAAGTGTTGCTGGATTTTGTCAAATGCTTTTTCTGCGTTTATTGAGATGATCTGTGACTTTTGCTTTTAATTTTATTTATGTTTAAATAGAATTTTAAATTCTATTTTAATTCTATTTGTCATGTTTCTTGACTTGTGTATGGTAAGCTATCCCTGCATCTCTGGTACAAAACCTACTTGAACAGGGTGTATTATCTTTTTGCTATGCTGTTGGATTTGGTTAGCTAGTATTTTTTTTGAGGATATTCATCAGGGATATTGGTCTGTAGTTTTATTGTTTTGTTATGTCCTTTTATGATTTTGGTATTATAGTGATACTGGAAGCCACACACTTTTAAACCATCAGGTTGTGTGAGAACTCACAAGGGTAATAACAACATAAGGGAAACTGCCCCTACAATTAATCACTCCCCACTAGGTCCCTATCTTGGCACATGGGGATTACAATTCAAGATGAGATTTGGGTGGGGACACATATCCAAACCATATCACTGGCTGTGTGCCAGTCATATGCTAGGGTGCCATATATGTTCTCATTTAATCCTCTGGACAATCCTGGATGATTACCTTTAGTACACTGTTCAGTTGTTCAATGTCAACATTGAGGAAATGGTGAAAGTGGATTTTGAGTCAAGGCTTTTTGACTCAGGGCCTGAATTCTTTATTCTATATAGCTCACTATAGTGAGTTGCATTCAGCGCCACCTCCTCCCTGCCGCCACCAAAAGATATATGTTCAAGTCCTAAACTCCAGTACCTATGACTGTGAGCTTATTTGGAAATAGGACCTTTGCAGATTTAATTAAACACAGATCTTAAAATGAAATCATCCTGGACTTAGGGTGGGTTCTAAATCCAATGACTGGAATTTTTATCAAAAGAGAAACAGAGAAAAAGTCCTATGAAGACAGAGGCAGAGATTAGAGTCATGCTACCACAAGCCAAGGAATGTCTGGGGCTATCAGAGGCTGGAAGAGGCATGGAAAAATTCTTCCCCTTTACAGCCTTTGAAGAATTGTGTCCCTATCAACAGCTTGATTTCAGACTTCTGATCTACAGAACTGATAAAATAAATTCTTGTGGGTTTTTTTTTTAATTTTTATTGTATGTTTGGGGGTTCATGTGAAGGGTTGTTATATAGGTAAACTTGGGTCATGGGAGTTTGTTGTACAGATTATTTCATCATCCAAATATTAAGCCCAGTACCCAATGGTTATCTTTTTTGCTCCTCTCCCTCCTTACACCCTTCCTCCTCAATTAGACTCCAATGTCTGTTGTTTCCTTCTTTGTGTTCTTAAGTTCTTATCATTTAGCTCCCACTTATAAGTGAGAACATGTGGTATTTGGTTTTCTGTTTCTGTGTTAGCTTGCTGAGGATAATAACCTCCAGCTTCATCCATGTATCTGCAAAAGACATAATCTCATTCTTTTTTATAGCTGCATCCTGTTGTTTTAAAAACACCCAGTTTTGGCACATTAAACAGACAAACACTGCATGACTGAACAATTGAATGAATTGCTTGAGGACTCAATGACTGACAACCAATTCTCTGGGTTAAACCACAGAATTCTAAAAATGCAGTGTTGTGGTTAAATCTTACCAGGTGGGTAAACTGAGCTGTAAAAGAATTGAAAACTGGCCAGGCACGGTGGCTTATGCCTATAATCCCAGTACCAGTACTTTGGGAGGCCAAGGCAGGAGGATAGCTTGAGGCCAGGAGTTTGATATGAGTCTGGACAACATAGTGAGAGCTTGTCTGTAAAAACAAACAAAAATAGCCAGGAGGTTAAGGTTGCTGCAGTGAGCTCTGATCATGCCACTGGGCAACAGAGAAGGAACCTGTCTCAAAAAAAAAAGAGAGGAAGAAGAAGTGGAAGAAGGAGAAGGAGGATGAGGAGGTGGAGGAGGAAGAAAGAAAGGAAAACGCCCTCCCAAGCACTTGGATTACAGGCCTGAAGTCGCAAGGTGAGTTAAGGGCCTAACCTCCTGACCTCCACTCCGTTCCACCTCCCACCAAGTACTACTGTAGCTGTGTTCTCAGAGTATAAGTCAGACAAAAGTAATCAAATTTGAGCTGTGTGAGAACTTCATAATGGAGGCAGAGTAGAAGTAGGCTAAGCACTGCAGCAGCCGAGCTAAAAAATAAAAAAGGTACAATTAAGAATCTCTTAACTCTAGTGTCAGTTGCAAAAACTCTCCCACAGCCTTGAAGGCTGCAGAGTGGGAAGCTGATGTGTCAACCTTTTCTCTTCTTTGCTTATCTCTGCCAATTTGATATTTTGTTCATGTAGGGGAGCACGCCTGACCTGAACGTCTCCACCTCTCTGCCTTTGCCCACGCTGTACCCTGCTTTGATTGCCCTCACCTTCGTGTCTGCATGCCACCCTTTTTAAGACTTAGCTCAAATACCAGCCCTCCTTTGACTCCTTGAGCTCTACTCATCGGTGTTTCCCAACACTTAGAGATTTCAGCACCTCCTGGGTTTTGCTTACTTATGCTGACTTCATGTTGTACTAGCCACAGAAGCCACAGGTTAAGTTCCATGTAATTTCTCTGAGCCTTACTTTGTGCAATCATTTATTCATTCCGTCATACAATCATCAATATTTTGTGAGTAAACTCATATGCTCCAGGTCATGTTCAGAATGCTGGGAAATGAAGGAAAAAGACAGCTAGAAATTATATTTGAGATAGGGAGAGGCAGATAGTAAGTAAGTAATAGATGGTAGACTATCAGATAGTGACAAGTGTTATGAAGAATAAAAACAGGGTGCCTAGGTGGATGGGCCAATGTGATTAAAGTTTCAAAGAAGGATTCATGGAAGAAAAGATGTTTTAAGTGGAACCTGGGTGAAAAAGCAGAAACTGTCTTGAGAAGACCTGAATGAAAAGCACTCCCAGCTGGGGGAAGAGCAATGGCCCCAGTATGGAGGAATTTTTGGCTTGTTCAAGGAAGAGATGGTCCAGTGTAATCAAATGAAAGAGTGATGGGATAAGAGCCACTGCAGATGGGCTGGGCACAGTGGTTCACACCTGTAATTCCAGCCCTTTGGGAGGCCAAGGTAGACGGATTCCTTGAGCTCAAGAATTCGAGATCAACCTGGGCAACATGATGAAGCTCCATCTTTACAAAAAAAAAAAAAATACAAAAAAAAAATTATCTGGGCATGGTGGTATGTGCCTGTAGTCCCAGCTACTTGGGAGGCTGAAGTGAGAGGATCACCTGAGCCCAAGATATTGAGGCCTCAGTGAGTCAAGCCATGATCATGCCATTCCACTCCATCCTGGGTGACAGAACAAGACTCTGTCTCAAAAAAAAAAAAGAAGTTATTGCTGATGAATTTGAAGAGGCAGATAGAACAGATGCCGGTAGGCTGGACCTGGTAGGCTATGGAAAGGATACTGGATTTTATTCTAAAAGTGATAAGAAGCTATTGGAAAGTTCCAAATGGGGTAGTGTCATAATCAGATGTACTTTACAAAATGGTCACTCTAGCTGTCAAGTGGAGAAAGAGTAAGAGGTCAAGAATGAAAGCAAGGAGACCATCTAGAGTCTATTGGAGTAGTCTAGGTAAGAGATGATGGCTTCTTGGAGTCAGGACAAAGCAGTGAAACTGGAGAATGGATGTCAGATTTGGGATATACTTTGCGTGTGTAGAACTGACAAGATGGACTGGAGGTTGGGGATAAATGGTAAGAAAGGGTCACTTAGGGATTACTCCTAGGATTTTGTCTCTATCCAATTGAGCTGCTATTTGCTGAATGGAGGCTAACTCCACACACCTGTACTGTCATGATGCAAGCAGTCTCAACCCTCAGATTTGTAAAAGCTATTTTTGTGAGGGACTAGAATGCAGCTCTAGGTTCATTTCATGGCTCTACCACTTCCCAGCTTTATGTGTCTTTGGAAAGTCTCTCAACTTCTCCAAGGCTCAGTTTTTTCAGCCAAAACCTGGGGAGCCATACAGAATGGTTATTATTATGAGGATTTAGTAAGCTAATATATGTAAAGTGCTTAGTGTGTTTCCTGGGACATTATGCATTCAAAAATGGTGGTATAGTCATTTGGTGCATAACAATGTTTTCATCAAGGATGGACCACATATATAGCAATGGTTCCATAAGATTATAAATTCAGTGTACCTAAGTGTGCAGTGTTTATAAAGTCTACAGTAGTGTATGTGAATGTCCTAGGCCTTCACCTTCATGCACCTATAGTCGTGTAAACTTCAGTCACATTACATGCCCTATGCGAGTATAACTCTTTTATTTTTGTACTGTATGTTTGCTGTACCTTTTCAATGTTTTGATATGTTTAGATACACAAATACTATCCATTGTGTTACAATTACTTGTAGTATTCAGTATAGTCACATGTTGCAGAGGTTTACAGCCTAGGAGCAAGAGGCTATACAATATAGCCTAGGTATGTAGTAGGGTATGCACTCTATGTTAGGGTAAGTACACTCTCTGATGTTTGAACAATGATAAAATTGCCTAATAATTCATTCCTCAGAATGTATCCCTATCATTAAACAACACATGACTGTAGTACTAGTCATTATTGTCATCATTTTTTTCCCTTCTCCTTTTCTTGAAGGAGTCTCCCAGCTCTTTAGGATCCCAGTGCTCCCCCTTACTTCTTTTGGTGGTGGCTCTGTACTCCCTAATTACAGTGCTTCATTTAAACCCCCCTCCCTCTCATAAACCTCTGTTACCCCTTACCGAAGCTTGTTTGTCCCATGGCTGGCTCTGTGTCATAGTGCTGACCTTATCAATTTCCACTTGTACAACTTTAGAAGAGGCTATCATCTTGTTCACCAGCACAAGCTGGAACTTCAGATTTTAATAAGACAAAAAAAAAAAAAAAAGAAATTCTCAAGAGTTGGGAAACCTGAAGTTTCAAGAATTTAGGAGAGTTGTATTGGAATAAGGGAATGACTCTCATTTACTATTTTCACTATTTTTTTAAAAATGGACTGGGAATACACCTTTGAATTCCAATGACACCAAATGGCCCTGTGAAGTAGCAAGGCTGTGTGCATAGTAAGCACTGAATAAATTCTAATGAACTGGTTTGAAATAAATTTTAATAAAGGTTTTAGCATCTCTTTAGCTGCACAGTTGAACAATGACCAAAGAATAGGTAGAACTACAAATATTCAAACAAGAAGGGAGACTTCATTTATACTAAGTATTAGGGCAAACTTTATCCCCTTGCTTTACAATTTTAATTTTCATGAAGCCTTGAGTCAATGTTATTTAATATCATAGACAGTTTTTTTGGCATATTCCCCATGATGAATCACTTATCTGCATAATTTATAATAATTTCTACTCTCAGGAAGAATAAATGGTAATTAAATGAAGTTCTATCATTTACCATGCCTTTGAGATTTGGTCAGTGTGAGTGACAGTTAAATCCCATCACTGTAGCTAAAGCTTGGCTTACTGAAATTCCAGCTCAGTTACCACAGTGGTTTAGTGATTGTGCCCCATCTAAGATAATTAATTATTTCTTGGAAGATAAATGGGCCTTGGAACAAAACTGGAAACTCTGAAAGTGTTGAGTTCAAAATGTAAATGACTTTTTACTGATAACTACCAAAAGTGAAGAGTGACAGGCAAGTGCCTTACCTAATTAGGATTTTTTACTTTCTTTTTTACTGTTATAAAGTCCTCTAGATTTAAAATTAGACTGCTTGTCAACCTATGGGAATTGGTTGAGTCATGTGGAATTCTAATACAATAGAATCTGGATTTGGGCTTCTATATTTAGCCTCACCCAAATTCAGTCTTTTTATTTTTACATGCATACAACCCAACTTAGCAACTGGTAATTACTGGGTAGAATAAGAGATATCTAGGTTTTTCTTAGATTGCAAGGAAGGCCTACAGAATTATCTTTCTCAGTAAGTAAATTTTAATGTGATCAAAACTTGAATTTGACATTTTGAATGGTTCGTGGGATCAACATGGACAAAGACTAAGCCTTCATGACCCTTCACTACCTCCATAACTTTGGCTCACCATCTTGAAAAACCAAACAATTGTCCTGGCCTTTCAAGTCCTTTTCAAAAAGCTTAAACTTATTTAATAACCATTTAAAAGCATTTTTGTGACCCATAAACACTAATAAAAAACATTCAGTGCACATGGATTGATTACAATAATGGGTCTTTAGTTTTGTCTTTATCTAGGAAAGACCATCTACTTTAAATGAGGTTGAGATAATCCCACATTCTGTCACAGAGCTATGGTATCAGATCAAATGAATGGTAAATGGAATCAGACATGGACGTATGCAATATGATCTTTTGAAAGAGTCAAGCATTCCCTGCTACATTAGTGGCATAATTTTGAATTATTTAGGATGTTTTATGAAATTACTCCTTATTTATTAGTCATTTATACTTCACAGTAAGGTAAGCTAGGATTTCAAGGTGATAATATGATTATGATAATAAAATAAATACACAGGGTGTGATACTATTTCCAGCATATAATATGGTCTTTATGAAAGCTCTGAATGGGACAATATGCAATATTTATTTGATTTGATTTCCAATCCCAATATCTTAATTAAAAAAAAATGAACACATACCACAGAAAATAAATATATAAAATTTAGATAGATTTTTTTTTTTTTTTTTTTTTTTTTGGTAACAGAGCTAGTTGTTTTCCATTTTATTCTAATCTAATTAATTTACCTGGTATTGGTGATCATTTCCCACCATAAACAGAGGCTCACATGCCTGAGACAAAAACTTAAAATTGGTGACATCATGCAGATGGAGGATGAAAATACTTCTGAAATTGAGGGGCATGGACAGGAATTCCACCAGATCATCTCAGCTTCAGATTGCCAAATAGAGACAGACAAGTCTGAGTTTGAGAGATCAAATTTTACTCTTGAATCAAATGAATATACTGTTTGCTCCTTGAACATATTTTACATTGTCTATTCATTTAAATGATTGGAACTAGTATTATTGGATACACTTAAACTTGGGTACAAAAGTAGTTTTCCTGGAATTAATAATTATTGAGCCCTGTCACTTGAGGTATGGATGAACCAGGATGAATAGCAAGAAGCAGTTTTAAGAAGAAAAGACACGGAAAATATTTATTGGAAATGGACAAAATATATTCTATATTACATCATTGGATAATCTCTTCAATTGAAACACAGTCTGTTTTTGTTTTCTTTTGTTTTGTTTTGGTTTTGTTTTCCTTGGCTGGATAGCCTTATAGATCATAGTTTCTAAGCTTCACCCTATAATGCTTTCATATAAATGAAATGCTTTGTCCAACATCTCACTGACAAAGACACTTTTCACTTCCGCTAACATCCTCTTCTTTCCCTGCATATGTGTATGTATGTGTCTTTTAAATTCTCAGTCCTTAAAAACTTTGTCAGGCTACTTAACTAGCCAGAAGGAATACCTATTTACAATTTTCTTTTTCTCCAACCCTAAGTTCTTGGCACCTTCCTGTTACCTTTGCCACCTGGGGCTTCTCAATAAGTTTCAATGATTTCAGGCAAGTCAGCTGGTCTTCTCAGTAAGTTTCATTGATTTCAGGCAAGTCAGCAAGGCTCCCGGGCATGCTGCCTTACAGATTAGATTAACCTGGCTCCAAACATTGGCACTGTCACATGTTAGTTTGGGGGCTTTGGACAAGTCACTTCAATCTCCGTGTGATATGGCTAAGCTTTGTGTCACCACCCAAATAACATCTTGAACTGTAATCCCCAGGTGTTTAGGAATAGATCTGGTGGGAAGTGAACTGCCCCTATAATCCAATCACTTCCCACCAGATCTACTCCTAAACACCTGAAGATAATAGTTTGTTGCCCCCATTGCTATTCTCGTGATAGTGCGTGAATTCTCGTGAGATCTGATATTTTTATAAATGGCAGCTTTTCCTATGCTGACACACGGTCTTTCTCACCTCTCTCTGTGTAAGACCTGCTCCTCCTGTGCAGAAGATTCATCAAGTTTCCTGAGGCCTCCCCAGCAATACGGAACTGTGAGTCAATTAAACCTCTTTCCTTATAAATTACCCAGTCTGAGGTATTTTTTTATAGCAATGTAAGAATGGACTAATACACCATGCTTCAGTGTCTTCGTCAGTTAAAAAAAAAGAAAAAAAACGAAATAATAATAATAATTCCTACTTTATTGTAAAACATGTAGAACACTAAGAGTATCTGCCTGATAAATTTTAGCTCTTCGTCTAAAAGTGTTTTT